AAAAAAAAATCCTCAAGCTGAATATCTGTTATGAAAACTTAAAGGAAATGAGACTTTGAATTTGAAAATATTAACAAGCTTTGATTTATAAGCTGTGTTTGAGAGATTTGAATTTGCTAGTAGATATTTTCATTTAGGCTTCAATTGAAAATGGGTACTCTGAAGAGGAAAAAGAAAAAAAAAAAAACCAAAAAACCAACCCTCTGATATGGTAGTTAAATATATTAACCAGACCATACCGTTTACACTGGAAAATTACCACCTTAAGGTTTTGGCTTCAGTTCCTCTTTAACACAGGTTTGATTTTGGTAGGGAAAATGAGGGAGGTACATGAGCACTGATTACAGTCCCCCTCAAGTTCTTGATCTCGTCTTGGTTGATTATTTGCAGGTCATGTTCCCATGATATATTCTTAAGCTTTCTGCTTTACTTTCTAGTCTTTTGAATAATAATGATAGGTAAATTGTTATTGTTTGCAAGAAAATAGCTTTTCAGGAAAGTAATGCATTTGCTTGAGAATACTGCTTAGTATGAGTTTTCTGTTGCAAATGATAATTTTAAAATTTATTCCTTTGAAGGGAAACTGTATAGTCTGTGAACTGCTAATGAACTGGATTCACTGGATGGCAAAAGTGTTACTTGTTTTGTTCCATATTTCTCATCTTCCTTTACTATTTAACTTAGATTTTTTTTTTTTTTTTTTTTTGGATGAGCCTTTTAATTATGTTCTTTGTGAATTGCATCTTGTGTAGGATTATGAAACTTCAGATGTTGCCCTGGGTAAAATAACTGCATTTTCTATGAACTCAAGAAACTGTGCAGAAATAGATTTTGCCAGTAGGTGACACTCTTACAACGTATTTCTTCCCTGATACTTGCTTTTCCTATTCAGGATGTCAGTAACCTGACTGAATTAAAGCATAGGTTGTCTAAGAGATTAAAAAGACGTACATCCCACTCATGCAAAAGCACCTCTTAAAATTCCATGATTTTACTTATGTGTGTAAAGTAGCTAACGTAGCTTAATAAGGAAATACACAGTGTATATTTAGTTTCGAAATCAAGGAATATTGTTAATTTAGAATATTTTTTTTTTTTTCATAAACCAGAAAAAAGTAATGAATGTTATGATTTTCTTTTCTTCCAAGAAACATAATATGTTTTTACAGCTGAAAGGTTTGTGTAGAAAATGGCCCAGGAGACTTCTATTCCTGTATCACTGATATGGAGTACTTTATTCCTGATTTCATGGAGGGGAAATTCAGGGATAGGCACCACCCTCATATGGGATCTTGACTGCACTTGATAGGCTTTGCAATTGAATTGTCTTTAAGTCCTTAAGTAACTCTGAGATCTTAACTGATTTGTTTGGATAACGGCTGATGTTGGTGTTAAAATTCAGTTCAAAGTTTGAAGTTATCTAGTAGGATTAGTACCTAATCCACTGAATTACTTGTCTACAAAATTTCCATTCTTCTAATTTCTCTTCTTTTTCAGTAATTTTCTCTTAAAGTAAATAATAGTGCCCAGGAATTACATGTGTGAAAATATATATGTTGCAGGGAAAAGGTTAAAACTACACCAAATAAATGTGATGAATCTTTTAATTGCAACAGCAATCACTCAGTTCCTATATATACTTATGTATTACAGGAATAATAGCAAAAAAAGGTACATACTTATGTAAATATAATTTAAAATTAACATGTAATGTTACAGTCATCATATTTAGCATTGTTACATTGTTATTGAAAGTAAGTACTTTATGTTTTAAAAATCTGAACTGTTTACCGTATGGAAGTGTCATTTTATATGAATGGTGAAACTGAACTGGCAGGAGTATTGGATAGTGTACACTATTTGAGGGGACACTCATCAAATGGAATGATGCATCTTTCCTTTTGTGTGTTTTAGAAATCATTTTATTTGAATTGCTCTAGAGCTCAAAATAATAGCTGAGGTAAAGCAGGGTTTGAACAACACTTTCTCAAAAGAGTGAAATAGAAACAGGAAGTTCTGGACTAATTG